GAATACCCATCTCAATTTTTTTTAAAAGCAAGATTCATAGAATCAGAGAATCACTGAGTTGGAAGGATCCCTAGAGGCCATCTAGTCCAGCCCCCTGCTCAGTGCAAGATCAGCCTAGAGCCTCCCTGACAACTGTTTGTATAGACGCTGCTTAAGGACTGGCAGGGAGGGGGAGCTCACCACCTCCTGAGGCAGCTGATCCCACTGCTGCACAACTCTGTGAAAAAGTCTTCCCTAAAATCCAGCTGGTACCTTCCTGCCCTTCCTTTAAACCCACGACTGCGAGTCCCCTTCTCTGTTGCCAACAGGAACAGCTCCCTGCCCTCCTCCTCGAAGTGACAGCCCTTCAAATAGTTATCGCTTATTCTATCCCTTCTGCCTGCAAAGGTAGACTTGAAAGCATTTATCTGTTTGCTTGTTTAACATGTTTGCTAACCTGCCTCACAGCTGACGTTCATTCAGGAGGCAGTTCACAAGAGAAGAAGTCTGTCTAAACTTCTTGCCCTTTCCCCAGGGAGCTGTTCTTCCTTGCTCCACTTTATCCTCACAACAGCCCTGTGAGGCAGGCTTGGCTTAGATGAGAAGAGCCTCAATGAGCTTCATCACTCTGTGGTGACGTGAACCCCGGCCTCCCTCCCTCGTGCTTGGATGCCGTTCCAGCCGAGAGCTCCTTTTCTCCCGGCTCTGAGGCCAGCGAGGAAAAAGGCCGCAGCCAGAGACACATCTTCATGCATGGGCTTACCTTAAAGGAAGTTTGCATTTGGTTTTAATTGCTCTAAGCCACTGTGGAATTCCTTTTGGGGAGGTGAGAAAGTGGGTGAAAATGCCAGCAGTCCAGCCTGAGGAGCCTGACGCAGCCATCCATCGATAAAAAAGAAAGAAAGACAGGTTTAAACACACCGTGAAAACTAACAATGATCAAAGTGCAACGATATAGAAATCAAAGCAGCGCAAGCACTCCTTCAAGGGAGATTTAGAAGCCAGCAAAAACACTGGATGGCAACTGTTGACCTTATAACCTTAGCTTGCTTTTTAGCTCTGACTCTGCATATCTTAAACATCATCATGTTACACGTTAATTTGCTGTTAAGTCCCTGTCTATACTGAGTTTCAGACCGGAAGGTCAGTAGCTCGGCAGTTCAAGACCCGAATGTGCTGCATGACGGAGTGAGCTCCCGTCTCTGGTTCCAGCTCCTGCCAACCAGCAGTTCAAAAGCAAGAAATTGCACGTAGATAAATAGGTACCACTTTGGTGGGAAGGTAACAGCGTCCCGTGCGCCTCGGCATTTAGTCATGCCGGCCACACGACCATGGAGAAATCTTCGGACAGCGTTGGCTCTTCGGCTTGGGAACGGAGATGAGCACCGCCCCCTAGAGTTGGATGCGACTAGCTTTCGAGCAAGGGAAACCTTTACCTTTTACCCTGTCTGTAAGTTTCAACCTTACCTATTTGAAAAAGTTCACCTTGCACACGAAAGCTCATACCTTGAATAAGCCTTTGTTGGTCTTAAAGGCTGCCACTGGACTCTAAATTTGTTTTACTAGATAGCAAAGAGAGGAACGTTTCTCCCCCTTTCCTATTACACAAGGAGCAGCCCGTGAAGGCAAGGGATTCAAGATGGATGAACGAAAAATCTTCTTCAAGCAATGATGACTTAACTTGTGGAATTCACTGCCACTGGAGGTTGTAAGCATAGATGGCTTTAAAAGGGAATTCGACATATTCATGGAGGAAAGGTCCACCATGGGCTACAAGCCCATGATGACTCAAGGGAACCTTCATGTTCGGAGGCAGTCTACTCTGAGCAGCAGGGCTGGAGGCAGCAACGACAGGGGACCCCGTCTGTAGGTCCTTCTGGGAGCAACTGGTCAGCCGCTACACGATACACGATGTTGGATTCCGTGGACCATTGGCCTGATCCAGCATGGCTGCTCTTATGCCTCTTGCAGACCACTCATAGGACACAAACTCTCACCAAATGCTTGGAAGACAAAAAATATCTCCCCTAGACTTACGAAGGGAGCTCTGACTCTCCGCAACTTCTCCCCTGAAACCCTTGTTTGTCGCAAAGGCGCTCCTGGTCTTGAATCGAACCCGAGGCCCCTAAAATGTATTTATTTATTTATTTTATTTCATTTATACCCCACCCTCCCCGCACGTAGAAGAAGAGATTGGATTTTTACCCTGCCCTTCACTTGGAGTCTCAGAGCGGCTTACAAACTCCTTTCCCTTCCCCTCCCCACAACAGACACCCTTTGAGGTGGGTGGGGCTGAGAGAACTCTGACACAAACTGTTCTTTTTCAAGGACAGCTGTGCCAGAGCTTGTGACTGACCCAAGGTCACATCAGCAGGTGCAAGTGGAGGAGTGGGGAATCAAACCCAGTTCTCCCAGATTAGAGTCCACACACTAACCACTACACCAAACTGGCACCAAGCAGGTCGGGAAGAGTCTGCATACTTAACCACTACACCAAACGCAGGCTCAGGGTGGCTTACAAAACACAAAAATGTGATACAATACCACAGATTTAAAAACAGTTAAGGCACACAGTGCAATAAAATACAAGTTAAAACCATTTCACACAAGTGGACAACTCACAGGATCCAGCGCGATTAACAAGCTCACTCCCTATTGTACATCACATTGGGGTCCCCGAGGAGGAGGCCGTGAGCCACGATGTCCAGGTGGCCAGTCAGCCCAACCCGGCGGTACTGCTCTGCACTCGCACGTTGGTGGAAATGGCGGCGGCGGCTCCTACACGAAAGCCTGGCGGAAGAGCTCCGTCTTGCAGGCCCTGCGGAACTGTAAAAGGTCCCGCAGGGCCCTGATCTCCTCGGGGAGCTCATTCCACCAGGTAGGAGCCGCCACCGAAAAGGACCTGGCCCTTGTGGCAACACGTCTGGCCTCCTTAGGGCCCGGGGTCACTAGGCGGTGTTGTGACCCCGACCGAAGTGCTCTTTGGGGCCTGTGTGGGGAAAGGCGGTCCCTCAGGTATGCCGGACCCTCAGCAGAGCTCATGACAATCAGAGCTGCCACAGGGAGGGAGTTCCACGAGTGAGGTCCCACTGCTGATTATTGCTGGGAGCCGGCCTGCAAGATTGCCAGGTGGAACTAGCAGAGTCGCACGTGGAGGCGGGTGGGCAATGCCGGGCAGAGGCCAGTGGGGCAGTTGTTTTGCTGAAGGAGCAGAAAGGGATCTTGGGGCCCCTTACGGGCCACCCGACTCCTTGAAGCAGAAGCCTTGAGCCTGCTTGGCCTACAGCACAAAGGGAATTCCGTTTCTCTGGAAAGCACGATACATGATTGCACGTGGCCCTATAGAAATAAACCACACGACAGAGCTGGTTCTTCCCTATTGTTCCCAGGGCCGTGGCTGGGATTTCTCGCTTTGCGGGCAAATTTATTTCTTGTGGGGCACACACGCACACGTACGCACACACTTCAGCCAGAATAAAGAATGCATCCTCTGTTCCCAAACAGTTTAGCATGGTGTGGGAATGTTGTGGGGCGTGCCAGCCCCAAGAGAGAGAGGGGGGGGCGCAAAAAATAAAATAAAATATGTTGTCGAAGGCTTTCACGGCCGGAGATCATTAGCTGTTGTAGCTTTTATGGGTTGTCTGGCCGTGGTTGACACAGAGAGAACCTCGTCTTTCTTGACACACAGAGAACTCCTTCTTTCTGTGTCATACCTCTGAGGGTGCCAGTCACAGCTACTTGTGAAACGTCAGGTCTTACAATGCCAAGACCGATGTTCCCTCTAAGCTGTGGAGCCCTGTGAGCAAAAATTCTACTTTGTGAGCTACCAGCATTAAAGTTGTGAGCAGGTGAATTGGCTACTGAATAACTTAGTTTGCTCTGGAATCATCCTTCCTGAGCTAAACAAAAATGTGTGAGCCGGAGGCTAAAAAACTGTGAGCTAGCTCACACTAACTCAGCTTAGAGGGAACACTGGCCAAGACCACAGCCACACAACCCGGAAAATCTACAACAACTAATAAAATTAAAAATGGGAAGTTGGGAAGGCCTGAGCTGGATGGGAAGTCAGGGGGCCGATGGTTCCCCTCCCTCACCTGTCTTTTTGCTAAGGACGGGAGTCGGAGCCTCCCTGGGCCAACCAGCTGCCCCCATCTCTGCCACCCTTACAGCCAGTCGGTTTGCGAGTGGCCACGACAGAGAAGACCTGAGCCTCTTTCCTTCTTTCCCCCTCACGGCAACATTTCCCCGAGAGTTCCGTTTTTATTTATTTTAATTTTATTTATTTATTTAGGCATTTTTACCCCACCCTCCCCGCGAGCAGGCTCAGGGCGGCTTACAAGGGGCATAAGCCCATACATAAAACCAGATAAAACAATAAAATCAGGAATAATAACAATAAGAATAATAAAGTGCTTTCTGTAAACAAGATGGTCTTTGAGTGGTTTTGATGGCGTCAGTCATTTCCTTAGATCCTTCCCTTGGGGTGAGACTCTCCAGTAGATAGTTCAAGCCAATCCCCCAATGTCAGTGCCATACAATTCATGGCGGAATTTCCAAGGGCGTTTTTTGTTTCTTCCCTTCAGATGGATTCTGCAAGGCAGTTAAGCAGCTGAGAACTCCCTGAAACCGACAGCTCCAGGGAGCGCCAGGCAAGTGAGCCAAGGCAATTTCCAGACCGAGAGCATGAGAAACACCACCAGCCCCTGCCAAGACAGAAACTGCTCTTTTCATGCCCAGCCAGAGCTGAGCGCAAAAAAAAATTTCCACCTGCGGAGAGCGAGAGCGAGAGTGCGAACGTTAGCAGAGATGCTCAATTAATTCCTCCTCTTCTGCGACAAAAGGATGAAGACCCCCTTGAACCAATCCTTGGGCTTCTACCAGGAGTTTGGGGGTGGACTGGGGAGGGGTCAAGGGAGATATAAAAAGCTGGGAGAAGTCACTGCCTGTTCACCTCGCCTCCGGAACAGCTTGAAAAAAGGTCCCCCCTGCCCCCCCTTGCCTGCAGCAGACGGGCGACAACGATGAACCCCAAACTCATCTGCTCCGGCTGGCTTCTGCTGATTCTGCTCTTGACGCACGACCAAGGAAGGGCCAAACCGATGACCAACATCCAGGTAAGAGACCCCACATCTGGGTTCCCACGAGAAGACAGAGGCACCCTTTGGAATGTGGAGAGTGACCCAGTTCTATTCACAGTGTTACAGAGGGTAGCTGATGGGAGGAAAAGGCTCAGTTAGAAACAGCAGACAGGCGACAACAATGAACCCCAAACTCATCTGCTCCGGCTGGCTTCTGCTGATTCTGCTCTTGATGCACGACCAAGGAAGGGCCAAACCGATGACCAACATCCAGGTAAGAGACCCCACATCTGGGTTCCCACGAGAAGACAGAGGCACCCTTTGGAATGTAGAGAGTGACCCAGTTCTACTCAGTTTTATGGAGGATAGCTGACGGGAGGGAAAGGCTCAGTTAGAACTGTGGGGTTGGAGGAGAGTTTTAGGGAGACGGTGGAAAGCCAAAAAGACAAATGAGAGGGTTCTGGATCAAACCGAGCCTGCGCTCTCCCTAGAAGCGAAAATGACCAAACGGAGGCTATCCTACTTTGGTCAGATAATGAGAAGACGAGAGTCACTGGGAAAGACAATAAGGCTGAGGAAGGTAGAAGGCAGCAGGTAGAGGAAGGCCCAACAAGGGATGGATTGGGTCAAGCAAAGAAGCCACAAAGAAGCCCTCAGTTTGCAAGGCTGCTAACGAGAGGACATTTTGGAAGTCGTTAACTCATAGGGCTGCCATAAGTCTGAAGCAGCTTGACGGCACTTAACACACACACACACACACAGTAGGAAGTGCACCTAGAGATTCTCTAGTCCATCCTCCTGCCCAATGCTCCCCCTAAGCTGCGGAGTCTCACGAGCAAATAACAGAACTACGGCTTGCCCAAGGCCATCCAGCCAGGTGCAAGTGGAGGGGTGGGGGAATCAAACCCCATTCTCCCAGATTAAAGTCAGCTCACTTAACCACTACACCAAACTGGCTCTCTCCTAGTCCTGCCTTTTGGAATGAGAGAGAAAAAATCCGCTCTGTCTTCTCATCCTGATGTCCTGTTTCTTACTTGGACAAAACGGAGGAGCGAGAGGGATGTTCCAGGGGACAGTTTGGCTGGGGGGGGGGGACAAGGATGGAAATGGGCCAGATAGCTGGGCTCTTTGGGGGGGTGGCGGCTACTCTCTTCCACCTGACCCAGCCCATTTCATCTGGGAGAATTCCCAGCAAAAATTCTACTGTGTGAGCTCCTGGCCTTAAAGTTGTGAGCGAGCGATTTGGCTGCTGCATCAATTAGTTTGTTCTGGAGCCCTCCTTCCTGAGCAGAGACAAAAATGTACGAGCCGGATGCTAAAAAACTGTGAGTTAGCTCGCATTAACTCAGCGTAGAAGGACCACTGTGAGTCCTGCCCCAGGCAGGAGTGTGCAGCTATAGTACCCCTGACAGATGGCTACCCTGTCTCTGCCTCGAGTCCTCCGGTGAAGGAAAGTCGTCCTCCTCCTCCTGAGGCAGGCTGTTCCATTGCTGAACAGAGTCTTACCTCCCAGAAGGCTGATTCAGGAGGGTAGCTGGGGTAAGTCTTCCCTCTAAGCTGAGTCAGTGTGAGCCAGCTCACAGCTTTTTAGCCTCTGGCTCACACATTTTTGTCTCCGCTCAGGAAGGAGGGCTCCAGAGCAAACTGATGGATGCAGCAGCCAAATCACTCGCTCACAACTTTAATGCCGGGTAGCTCACAAAGTAGAATTTTTGCTCACAGGACTCCATAACTTAGAGGGAGCATTGGTCCCAAGGTTGTTCATTCTGCATCTGGAGCACTCATTCCAGTCCCTGGTACCAGTGTTCCCTCTAAGCTGAGTTAGTGTGAGCAAGCTCACAGTTTTTTAGCCTCCGGCTCACACATTTTTGTCTCAGCTCAGGAAGGAGGGCTCCGGAGCAAAGTAATTAATGCAGCAGCCAAATCGCTCGCCAACGACTTTCATGCCAGTCGCTTTGCTCACAAGACTCCACAGCTTAGAGGGAGAGGGAACTCGGGCTGCAGTAGAAGAGCCAGGATTCGAATCCAGGGGCACCTTCGAGACCAACAAGTTTTCCGAACTCAGAGCTTTCGAGAGTCAAAGCTCCCTTCGTTGGAATCTCGTTGGTCTCTGAGGTGTGCTCCTGGTTTTCCCCATCTACCTCCAGGAAGTTTCCCTGAATATCCAGCTCAGACCCACTCCCTTGCGATTCCATCCTGTACATTATATGATGTAATTTGGTTTTACCAATATATGTGGCCCTCTGTTATTCTTGTTATATAAATTTACTCTTTTTGCATGACTTTTTGAGCACTTGTGGTCTGCGTTATTTGTACAGTGCTTGCTTGCTTTCAGAATTCCCAGAGGTCCAAGACACCTGGATATTGCGGCTTCAGAAAGGAAGTTGCAGCGTGGTTGAATCCTGCAGACCCACCCTGCTAATGGTGGCGCAAGCAGTCCTCCTTTGATGGAAGAAGGCTATGGGAATGGAGCTACGGCCAGGGGTGGCCAAACTTGCTTAACGTAAGAGCCACATAGAATAAACGTCAGATGTTTGAGAGCCACAAGACATGAACAAACATTAAAGGTTTTCCCCCTTGCTCGAAAGCCAGTCAAATCCGACTCTCGGGTTGCGGTGCTCATCTCCGTTTCCAAGCCGGAGAGCCAGCGTTGTCTGAAGACGTTTCCGTGGTCATGTGGCCGGCATGACTAGACGCCGAGGCAGATTTGCTTTTTATTAACATTAAATGAGACTGCCGAAAATAAAAACAAAAAGGGGTAAAAACAGATATTTATAACGATATTTATTTGTCTGCTAATGATCTTTATTTGTCTAAGAGAGAGAGAAAGAGAGAGAGAGGTGGAAAGAATGAATGAAAGCGGTGGAAAGAGAAAGAGAGAAACAAGGAAAGCCAATAGATGGTGGAGGGGGTGAGGAAGAGAAAGGAAGGAAGGAAGGAAGGGAGAAAGAGAGAGAAAGAGAAAGTCAGGTGGAAAGAACACTGGCTATGGAAGGGAAGACTGATCGGGGAAGCACGCCTCCCCTTTGCTAGATCAACAATAGACCAAACTCTCCAATATAGTCGGTAAGTAGTGTGAACTTCTTGAAGAAGAGCTATCGAAACGAAGATCAAAATTCAGGGTCTTCGTCTTTGTCTGTGTACCATTTATGGCTCCGGCTCAGAAGGAAGGGGGGGAGAAATAATAGAGAAGAGCTTTCTCAACAGCTGTTATCCATGAGGGCTCAGTGGAACCTCCACATTCAGGGGCAGTATACCTCCAAGCACCAGTTGATAGGGGAAGGCAATGACAGGACCCTAGCCCTGACTGTGGTTGGCCACTGTGGGAGACAGGATGTAGTCGAAGTGGTCAGTACCCAGACTGCACCAAGAAATCCAGAATTCCATTACCTGCCTAAAAGATGCAAATGGCCCGCAATTAGCATGCCATGATGGAAATTAACCCAGCGGGCTTTCCTTCCTCCGCCTCTCTCTCTCTCTGTCTTTCAGGCCTTGTCCAAACTGTTAGAAGAGGACCTAGAGCAACCCCTGGGGTCTGAGGAAACAGAACAGGAGCAGGATGAGACCCTCCTCACAGGGGCCATGGAGCAACAAGACACTCCCCTCCCCTGGTCCAGAAACCCCCTGGAGGGGGTCCCCATTTCGGAAAGCGCCCTCCAGCGGCTCTTCAGCGATCTTCTGGGCTCCTCGCGGAGCTACCGGGGCAGAAGCAAAAAGGGCGTCTCGAGGGGCTGCTTTGGCGTCAAGCTGGACCGAATTGGAGCCCTGAGCGGGCTGGGATGCTGAACTGTCAGGATGACGGTAAGACAGAGACACACCGGGTGCCCTCCATGCATGCTACCACAGATGACGCTTTGCACAAATGTGAAATCCAGTCCATCTAACGCTGCAAACTCCCCCCAATGAAAGCAGTTTTGTGCCGGAATACGGAAGTTCACTGTAGAGCAACGATTTCCGAAATGGTCTGCTGTGAGGAAAATTCTCCCAGGCCACAGAAAGGCTCTGGTCTCTGCATGATTCCCTGGTGGCCTCTGCCTAATTAGCCTCTGCAGTGGTGGGGTGCAAATTATGTGTGGTAAGGTCACTGCTGACTTAATGGAAACCCCTCTGAATTAATGACCTCCAAAACATCCTTATTGTCAGTAGCCTTGCTCAGGCCTCAGTGATGGGGTGGCGGATGGGTAATTCTGCTATGCAACAGCATTGAACAATCCAACCAGTCCAGTAGGGTTACCTGTGTCCAGGGAGGCTGCTTGTTGAACCTCTGTGCTTCTGGCCGGAACAGTGACTCATGCAGAGCCACAAAGGAGGAGCTCCTCAGTGGGTGAACGATTCTCACTCGTACGCACCGTAACACAAACCTGTCCAGGCACAGGAGTGAAGTACGTCCCATTGTTTCAATTCAGCTATAGCCAGCCGCTGTTCTAAAATGATTGACCTGGGTCAGTTAATTCATACATGGTTTCATTACTTAATTCAGAATTGTGATTTTTTTTATCTTGTCCTGAGAGGTGGTAATAGAAGATGGGGTATAATGGCGGGGCGGGGATACAACCGGCAAGGGATGAAAAACCAGTTCATGAACCAATGTTGTCTTGAGCCCAAACTTTCACCCTACTCGGGTTTCACAGAAGCCAACAGGACTTCAGTTAGCCAGGACTGTCCTCAGTGGGTGAACGATTCTCACTCGTACGCACCGTAACACAAACCTGTCCAGGCACAGGAGTGAAGTACGTCCCATTGTTTCAATTCAGCTATAGCCAGCCGCTGTTCTAAAATGATTGACCTGGGTCAGTTAATTCATACACGGTTTCATTTCTTAATTCAGAAGTGTGATTTTTTAATCTTGTCTTGAGAGGTGGTAATAGAAGATAGGGTATAATGGTGGGGTAGGGATAAAAGAAACGACAAGGGATGAAAAACCCGTTCATGAACCAACATTGGCTTGAGCCCAAACTTACAGAAGCCAACGGGACTTCAGTTAGCCAGGACTAACTCAACCCTTTCAACTGAACTTTATCACAACTCTGAACTGGGGACTAGCGAAAGCCTTTAAAAAAACCCACCTCTTCGGCTTAGAAACGGAGATGAGCACCGCAACCCTAGAGTCGGATTTGACTGGCTTTCGAGCAAGGGACACCTTTACCTTTACCAACCATACACTGCAGAAGCTAGGTAAAGGTTTCCCTTCCTTGAAAGCCAGTCGAATCCGACCCTAGGGATTCGTTTCCAAGCTGAAGAGCCAGCGCTGTCCGAAGACATTTCCATGGTCATGTGGCCGGCATGACTAGACGCCAAGGCGCACGGAACACTGTGACCTTCCCACTGAAGCGGTACCTGTTTATCTACTTGCAATTTCTTGCTTTTGAACTGCTAGGTTGGCAGGAGCTGGGGCCAGAGACGGGAGCTCACTCCTTCACACGGCACTCAAGTCTCGAACTGCCAAGCTACAGACCTTCTGGTCTGCAGTTCAGCATCTTAACCACTTAAGCCACCACAGCCCTTGTAGAAGCAGGTTCAAATCCTCAGTAATCCATGAAGCTCACTTGGTAACCTTGGGACAGTCAAACTCACCTACCTTGCAAGGTTGTTGTGAGGGGGAAAGGGAAGGTGGGGAGCATCACATACACCACCCTGAGCTCCCTGGAAGAAAGGTGGAATAAAAATGTATTCATAAATAAAATGACAAATAAGTTTGCATGTAAGTTAAGCCCTTAGTTTGAAAAACAAAGTTCCTTCTCTTCGGTCTTTATTGGTGTACAAGTGTCTCCAGCAGATATCACCTTAGAAGATGCTCTCCTTCCTGGGTGAAGGGGTCATTTGCCATCTGCAAATATATATGTAGGTTTGGTGCAGTGGTTAGGAGCACGGACTCTAACCTGGGAGAACCGGGTTTGATTCCCCACTTCTCCACATGCAGCTGCTGGGTGACCTTGGGCAAGCCACAGTTCTCTCAGAGCTGTTCTCTAAAGACCAGTTCTCTCAGAGCTCTCTCAGCCCCACCTACCTCACAGGATGTCTGTTGTGGGGAAGGGAAGGGAAAGGAGATTGTAAACCTCTCTTCCGGGTATAAATCCAATCTCCCTCCTCCTCTGGTAGGTAGTTTCAGGGGGTAACCATCCCTTCGTCAGACACAGCAGAATATGTTTTTAAAATCTGCAAACCCATTAGCCAAGGACACCTTGTTGGTCTACCAGAATGCTTCCCCCCAATTAATCTCAGAAGTCACTCCACGAAATGTTGCAGCCCTGTACAGTTTTGCCCCCACAACCATTCCGAGGCAAGAATTTCAGGACGCAGAAAGTTAATTTTGCTTTGCTTCCCCCTGCAGGCTGCGGCGCCCCAGGTGAGACCCTCAACCCTGGTCCCGCCAGACTCCTCATTCAACCGCTGCAAACAAAGCCACATCAAGCAAAACCTCTGAATCTAACTGCAGCCCAAATACCGCTGGACCTTCGCGGGCTCATTCACACGCGCCTGACAAATAAAAAGTCCTTTTTTCATACAACCCACACTTAACAAATCGAATTTGGAACAGGGCAGATGGCTTCTTGCTTAAACAAGGAGTTGGCAAAGTTCTTGGGAAGTCCACACACCTGTTAGTTGTGACAGATCAACGGAGCCTCCATGTACCGAGGCAGTGTACCTCCGAATGCAGGATACTGGGAGTGGACAATAGCAGAAGGCTATCTCCATCTCCTTCCACTTGCAAGGCTCCTAGGAGCATCTGGGAGGCCACAGTTGGATGCAGAGTGCTGCATTAGACCAGGGCTCCCCAACCTTTCTGAGCCTGTGGGCAAATTTGGAATTCTGACATAGCATGGGGGGGGGGGCTGCAGCAACAAGATGGCTGCCACGGGAGGCGGAGCCAACCGCAAAATGATTGCCACGGTTTAACTTCAGCAACACAGTGCAGAGAGCCAGGTTGGTGTAGTACTTAGGAGCGGCGGACTCTAATCTGGGAATACCAGGTTTGATTCCCCACTCCTCCACATACAGCTGCTGGTGTGACCTTGGGCCAGTCGCTGTTCTCTCAAGGGCAGTTCTCGAGAGAGCTCTCTCAGCCCCACCTACCTCCCAGGGTGTCTGTTGTGGGGAGGGGAAGGGAAAGGAGAGTGTAAGCTGCTCGTAGACTCCTTTGGGTAGTGAAGGGCGGGGTATGAATCCAATCTCCTCCTCCTCCTCCGCCTCCTCCTTCCTCTTCAAAGCAACATTTTAAAAAATCTGCAAAGCCAATAAGATCTCCAGTAGCCAATCAGAAACTTTGCTGGCCAAATCCCTATCTGGCTCACCTAGTTCCTAAAAACACCTGGCGGGCACCAGAAAAAGTGGGTGGGTACCATTGTGCCCATGGTCGCCATGTTTGGGACCCTGGATTAGCTCAACCTTGGTGTCATCTAGTCCTAGTTGGGGTTTTTTTTAAGTAACAACTCACACGTGTGAATGAGCCCGCAGCACAGATTACAGGGGGAAAATACTCATGTCACCTCAATATTATTCAGCACCAGACATCAAACACTGAGAGACCCAGAGGGATCAAGGGACGCACGGGCATGCAGCCACCGACTCCGTGGAACAGGCCACTGATTCCCCGCCCCTTCCCTTATTTGTATGGATGCATTAATTTATGAGAAAATCATGTCCGTTTTCATTCTGTGTGTCCCGTTTATGTGCAATTGGCCGTTTGTGCAAATCACTCCATGGTGAAGATTATGGAATAAATTGGTTTTCACAATTTGTCCAATTACATTTCCAGATTTGTACTGTGTGTTCTTTTGGAGGTGTGTGTGGGGGGAGTACTTGTCTGTTCGCTTTTAGTCCAACTACTGCTAGGACAGTCTTCAAACAGATTAGAGTCCGCCACTCTTAACCACTTCACCAAACCGGCTCTCACTACACCAAACTAACCACTACACCAAACCGGCTCTCAAATGCTAGAAGGAAATTCTAGCTAGAAGGAAAGGCCTATCTGGGGTTCAGAAGAAAGCAAAACAACTCTCTGCTGCAGAGCTCATTGCTATTACAGAAGTTCGGGGAGAGGGCAACCAGGATGGTGAGAGCTCTGGAATCCAAGTCTTACGAGGAACGGCTGAAAGAGTTGGGGATGTTTAGCCTGGGAAAGAGAAGGCTTAGAGGGGACAGGATTGCAGTCTTCAAGTATCTGAAGGGCTGTCATGTAGAAGATGGAGCAGATCTATTATCTGTTGCTCCAGATTGCAAGACTAGATCTAATGGGTGGAAATTACAAGGGAGTCGATACCGGCTAAATATCAGGAGAAACTTCTTAACTGTCAGAGTGGTTGAGCAGTGGAACAGACTGCCTCAGGAGGTGGTGGATGCTCCTTCGCTGGACGTTTTCAAGCGGAGGATGGACTACCATCTTTCGGGTCTGTTGCAGGGCTATCTTTCGGCTATGCTCCTGCAGAGTGCAGGGGGTTGGACTAGATGACCTGCAAGGTCCCTTCCAGCTCTAACATTCTATGATTCTATGACTTTTTATCCTGCCTTCCTGCCTTGGAACTCACGATGCTCTACGGGGTGGGGTGGGGGGTAGACAAGCAGGCCTCCCCATCAACTTCAGCCTGGCGCTTAGGGTTGCCAGGGGGTGGCTGGAGATCTCTTGGGATTACAAGTGATCTCCAGTGGAGAGAGAGATCAGTTCACCTGGAGGAAATGGCCACTTTGATCTGGTGATGTGAACTTTGACTCACGAAAGCTGACACCCTGGAACATTGGGTTTGTCTCCAAGGGGCTCCTGGGCCCGAACGTTGAGAAGGCCCTTGGCTCCGTAACCTCCCACCCCATTTCAGAAGTGAAGGGGGGGCACCCAGAGAAGGCCCCCCTCCCAATGACCTCAGCAGACAGGCAAATGAACACAACGCAAAGTTAAAACATTAACAGCATGACACACACAGAGCCGGCACAAACGAAAAAGAAACTGCTGCCAGCAACAAAATGAAGCAACACAACCAAGGCAGCAAAATGCAAAACCATGGTTAGAACAATAAAAGAGGCTGTGAGCCAGTTTGGTGTCGTGGTTAAGTGCGCGGACTCTAATCTGGGAGAATTGGATTTGATTCCCCAGTCCTCCACTTACAGCTGCTGGATGACCTTGGGCAAGCCGTAGTTCTGATAAGAGCTGTCCTTGAAAAAGAGCCGTTTCTGTCAGATCTCTCTCAGCCCCACCTCCCTCACAGGGTGTCTATTGTGGGGAGGGGGAGGGAAAGGAGTTTGTAAGCCGCTCTGAGACTCCCTTGGGTAGTGAAGGGCGAGGTATAAATCCAATCTCTTCTTCTCTTCTCTTCTTCTTCTCTAAGAACTGCAGCCGCCCCCGCCCCCATGGCTAAATCTGTTTCAGCATATAAATGCCCTCTGTTCAATCCCTTTCAGCTCTTTTTGAGAGCCAGTTTGATGTAGTGGTTAGAAGCACGGACCGTAATCTGGGAGACCCGGGTTTGATTCCCCACTCCTCCTCCACACGCAGCTGCTGGTGCGTGCTTGGGTCAGTCACAAGTTCTCTCAGAGCTGTTCTCTCAAGAGCAGTCCTTGAAAGAGCTCTCTCAGCCCCACCTCCCTCACAGGGTGTCTGTTGTGGGGAGGGGGAAAGGAGATTGTAAGCCGCTCTGAGACTCCGAGTGAAGGGTGGGGTATAAATCCAATCTCCTCCTCCTCCTCTTCTTCTTTTGGCCAGTCTAGAGGGAAGGAGGTGGCCGGACATAGTTCCTAGGGCAGGGAATGCAATCTAGGGGGAGGCACAACTGGAAAAGCCCCACCCTGGGTAGGTTAGCCCGAAGGGGAGAAGGGGGACCCTGAGGAAAAGGTCTCTTGAATGGCAGGCTACCCGGAGATCTCTTGCTTTTACAATTGGTCTTCAGATGGCCAAGCTCAGTTCCTCTGGAGAAAACGGAGGGTGGACTCTATTGCTTTCTACCCTGCTGAGGTCCTGCCCCTCCCTAAACCCCACCCTCTCAAGGCTCCACCCCCAAAATCTCCAGGTATTTCCCAACTGAGAGCTGGCAACCCTATTGAACAGAGACCTCACCCTGTCTGGACCTCGAAGCCCCACAGCCCGGGGAAGGCAGGCTTTCGGTTCTAAGAAGCAGATGGATAAAACGATAACAGGTAAAGGTTTCCCTTTCTTGAAAGCCAGTCGAATCCGACTCTAGGGAGCGGTGCTCATCTCCATTTCCGAGCTGAAGAGCCAGCGCTGTCTGAAGATGTTTCCGTGGCCATGTGGCTGGCATGACTAGACGCCGAGGCACACAGGACACTGTGACCTTCCCACCGAAGTGGTACCTATTTATCTACTCGCAATTTCTTGCCTTCGAACTTCTAGGTTGGCAGGAGTTGGGGCCCGAGACGGGAGCTCACGCCATAATGCAGCACTCAGGTCTCGAACTGCTGAGCTACCAACCTTCCGGTCTGCGGCTCAGCGTCTTAAACTCTGAGCCACCGTGGCCCCACAAAACGATAACAAACCTTCTGTAAAACAGCGATTGTTAAAGCCACCTGCAGGGCAGTGAAGCATATGAAGCTGCCTGGTACCGACTCCAACCTCTGGTCTATCCAGCTGGGTCTGGTCCCTTGACAGGGCCGAGGGCTCTCCGGGGGTCTCCCCACATGTCCCTTCCTAGACCTTTCCAAGCGGAGAGGTCAGAGACTGAACTGGGAACCTTTGGCAGGCCAAGGGTGGGCACACGGCCCCTTTCCTTCAAATTAAACTCGGCCCCAACCAATGTTCCCTCTAAGCTGTGGAGTCTCTTGAGCAAAAATTCTACTTTGTGAGCCACTGGCATTAAAGTTGGGAGCAAGCGATTGGGCTGCTGCATAAATTAGTTTGCTCTGGAGCCATCCTTCCCGAGCTAAGACAAAAATGTGTGAGCCGGAGGCTAAAGAACTGTGAGCTAGCTCACACAAACTCAGCTTAGAGGGAACACTGGCCCCAACAAGCCAGGTGGTTGTTTGGGGCACATCTAAACATACTGTGCTGTGGGAAAGATGAAGAGAAACAAATACTGACAGGGGACGGTGCCCCGTGATGCGGTGTGGGTGACAGGGAGAGCTGAAATATTGTCTCTTCGTGCATCAGTCAAGTCAGAGGGTGTGCTATTGCGGCAAAAGACCAGCCGCATAGCTTCCCCCTCAACCCCACAGCTCAAGCTCTGCAGGGACAGCCGCTCGACACACCAGCAAAGACGATCTGACACCCACCGTCATCCAGAATGTCTCCAAGACACCATGAAAGTTTGCAAACAGGCGAAAAGCCGAGCTTTTCCTCGCCCCACAAAAGTGGAAGTTACTTATGACAGGAGCTGCTCCCAAGCGACTGTTGTGTTGCCATGTGCTTTAACAATCTCTTGCTTTTAATTGGAAAAGCTCTTGTAATTAGTGTTTGGCTCCACGCTCATCACCACCCTGAAACATCTCACCAGTGACCCCAAAGCTCTTTGCGGGAAGGGCCAGAGGCAGACATAACGAGGGAAGGAGGAATGAATATCCGGAAGG